CCCGCCCCGCCGTGCGTGAGTCACGGGAGCCGGGAGTGGGCCGCTCCGCACGGGCTTTCCCACGCCGAGTTGCGAAACCTGTCGCTACCGAAGGGAAGGGTTTGGGGTAAAATTAGTAAGTTTAATTTCAATAAGTTCGAGGCGCGCGGTTGCTTAGCAGCTCCCGTGGAGCAGATGTGTGAAGCTGTCGTGGGTGCTGAGGCTGCTCCCCGCCTTCCCGAAACGAAATAAGTGTCGGTGTTTGCACAGGTGAGGTGGCTCGGCCGTGCAGGAAGGTGCCGGTCCCCGGCCGTGCAGGAAGCTGCAGCTCCCGGTAGGTATCGAGGGAAAGGACGGGTTACGCCTCCGTGCGGAGCCGATTTCGCTTCTGGAGGAAATCCTTGCGCCTTCCTGGATGGCAGAGCGTGGTTCCTGGCCATCTCCTGCTCCGGGTGCTTCGTGTGCCGTCGCCTCAGGTTAATTTTCCTGACGTGCACTAGATATAGCGTCTGAATGTGCACGGCTGCTCAATCCCCTTCCAGTAATGAATATTAGTTAAGATTATCTTGCTTTGCCTCCAACACAATTATTTCTGAGAGAAGTTTTAATTATTTTGACGAAAACGTTGGTTATTACATTCAAGCAAGGAGCATACCTTTGCAGGTTTCGCGTGTTAAAATTTGTGTGCCGTTCTGCGTGCTGGGTTCAGCTGGCCTGCTCTGCAGCAATCGCAGAGGGAGCTTGAGAGTTTTAGGTGCTTTCTGGATCGCTCTGACTTCAGAACCCAGGTTTCTGTCCGCAGTGGTTCTGCTGAACGGATGTGAGCTGAAGGATGCGTTCTGTCAACTCGTTTTGCTTGTATGGGAGATGTGTACTCCAGAAGTGGTAAGGGTGGCTTGACTGTACCAGGTGCAATGCTGATTTTAATTAAGGTGTTACTTCAGTCACTTGTTTATTTAACTGGAACTGTTCAGGAGTCAGCGTTGATCCAAAGCAGTGTCAGTAGGTAAAGTGCACTTGAATGTTTCTGAAAATATTCACTGACATAAGTAAAAGTGTTACAACTAAACTGTTGCAAATTCCTATCTTTCTGAAATAGAAGTGAAGTTCCTTGTAGTTTGCAGTTTCGTACGTGGGAAAATTGCTTCAACTTGGTAACGATGTAATCACACTTTTAACGCAAAACAGAAATTCCCTATTTATGGGGAAAAGCCGCAAAATGGGGAAGTCATTTGTGGGTGCGCTTGTTATGCTTTGAGGGAAATGCACCAGGTGAAAAACGGGCTAGGGGAATTTCGGCTGAGCATAGCCATGCTTTGGGGGGAGAAGGCCGGAAACGAGACAGGAAAAATTAAACCTCGTCTTGACATACAGCTGTGCATTCACCATTGTGAGCGCGGACTCTGTTTTCATTACCCGTGTTCTGATTTGGGGACGCGCCGAACTCATGCGAAGCGGTCCAGCGCCTACGGACGCGTTTCTGCTGGCACGTCTAGATGGCAGAGGCCTGAGCACGTTTGCCCATATGGTGGTAGCTTCTGCCGTTACTTGTCTTAGTGAAGTGATGCAAGTGGATGGGTTGTCGGTAGGGGAGCATCAGCACTAGAGGTGACACCAGTTTTTCCTGCAAATGCCATGAACCGAGTCCAAAATTGCGTAGGTCTTACATGCAGAGAGAGAGGAGGCGTGACCAAGCGGCTTGATTACTGTGTGACGTGTAGTTTTGCATATCTGGAGATGTCCCAGACACATATCTGTGTATTCACACAGTGATTTGGGATTCAAATAGTAGTTTTCTTAAGCTGCATACAGTACTGCTGGACAGTGGTAGCTGGCTGGCTCTGATGGTGAGCCCCAGAAGCCTTGGGGTTGATTACGGTATTTTTTTTGTGGATCTCTTTTCAACCCTCTATTTTTCTATATTTCCTCTTTTTTTTTTTTTTTTTTTACTTTTTCCCTTTTTGAAAACAGTTGATTCCAAAACTACTATTTAAGATTCTCATAGCTTCCTGCATTGAAATGATATCAAAACTGAAGTTACTAGAGAGAACCACACAATCTGCGGTTTTTGCGGTTAAAGGAAATGGTTAAGCCTTTTTTAATAAGAGGAAGTGAGAGGTGAAGTATTCGTAGCTGCCTTACAGATTGCTGTAGATGCTGTCTAGGGCGTAGAGATTTTAAATGATTAAGAGTTTTCTCGACTGTTAGAAACAAAGCAGGAAAATTTTACTTCCCAGGGAGTCACAGAGGCTGTTAAAAGCAGTTAGAAACTTGATGTTTACACTTTATCTTGCTCTATAAATTTAAGTTTCGACGTCATTGTGCTTATAGCTGTTAAATGTTCCTCGTTTCCTGTTTACTGACCTTCTGTGTTGTAGTCTTCTGAAGTAGTTGGAAGTGTGTTGTTTTTAAAACGGAGTATCTGAATGTATGTTTTCTTGCCTTTGAGAGTGACATGGAAAATATGAAAAGTGGGCTTACTGAGGTAATAGTGGATGATGAGACAAAAGTCACATTTGATCTGTGTAGAGGTGGATTTTTTTGGTGCTGTTGTTATTTTGACATAAGACCCTTTGCTAGCTTCAGCTGTCTTATTTATTAGGACCAGTTATTAGTCCTGGGAAATCTTACCATTACCGTTACCATCAGGTTTCTCTCCTGATTTGTTCCATCTACATTTTAAGAATTTATCCTCAGTTATCCAGGCTAGCAGTCGTAGTGTTGTTTTCCATGTAGCTCTTTTGTCACTACTTGTCTACAACTAAAGCTCTGTAAGTCAAGGGCAGCAGGGGTTTTTCATGCCATCCTGGCTCAGGTGAAGCTTGGATTTTGTGGTTGCCTTTCAGAGCGGACTGAGACTGTGTTGGTAAGCTTTGTGTAATCCTGCCGGTACTGTCAAATAAGTGTATTGTTCAAGAGTGGTGGCAGAGAAATAATCTTGTTTTCTGTGGGCCCATCTTTTGTTTGTTTATAAAACCCTTGGATACTGGGAAGTATTTACAATAAGAGATTTAATCTTAAAATACCTGAAGTATAGATTTGTCCAGAGCAAATCAAGAGTGTGATTTTTTTGATGAATGAAGCAGTATACTGTCCACAGAACTGCTAGGGATTAAAAGTTAAGGTTTTGAATTATTTAGAGTATATGTTATTCAAACACAATGAGTCTCTTATTTAGCATTAATTGCTTTGCTAGCAATATTCTGTTGTTCTTCACGGTGCAGGTTTTACATTTGTATGCAAGATTTTTTCTTAAAATGTCATTAGCAAAACAAATTCTTTTGACTTTCACAACTGTGATGATTACACAGCATCTAAAAAATGAGAATCCTCAACCAATTCTTAGATATGAACTGCGTAACCAAACTGAAGTCATAGATAAGGAACAGAAGAAATATTTGCAGGGGCTGTAGCTGACTTTATCTTTACTGTTCCAAACTAAAAATGTGGTCCCAATCCTATTGTGAGCACCACGTAGCTTAGTATGAAGCCAGTTTTAAAATAATTTAGCAGGTGATTAATTGCCAGTTAGTTCTTTAAAGATGCAATAGTGGGAATATTGGATTTTTACCTGTATGGAGGATGTTACTTGTTAGCCATTTTAAAAACTGAGTATTTTTTGTTTTCCCTATTTATTTTCTCTTCTGCAGCAGTTAAAGTACGTACTCTTTTCAAAAGAGCAAGAGAAGGCGTATGCTGTGAGGGAAAAAGGAGGAGTGCATCAAGTCTCCCGTGGTGAAACAACGGCAAGTTTGCCAGATCAGCCAAGGCTGAATAGAGCTCATATCTTTCTTTGCCAGCCTTTTATGCTGCTTTGAGATTGGGATGAAGACAAAGATCCTGAAAGCTCCAAAACTGGGCTGGAGAGGACTTGCCGAAGTCTAAACATTGCAGAGGACATTTGTACAAGCCAGTCAATTGGTTAATAGAACCAGTCGATAAAGTCTACTGTTTTGCTTAGGCACTAGAGTGGTTCTTCTGGAAAAAGGAGAGATTTTAGGTGAGAACGTGGAGAAGTTTCCAAGCTGCAGAGCTCTGAAGTTTGGAAGGGTGTAAGGTTTGATTACCCTTTTGATGCTGAGCTCTGTCCTGGAGTGCAGAGCTGAGAGGAAAAGCTCACAAATAGCCTGGGTTTGAATAGTAAGGCTGGCATTGGAACGAACACATAATGTCTTCAGGTCATCAGGAAGTGTCTTAGGGTGGGGCAGTAGTACTTCCAGTGCTAGACAGATGTCAGCAGTTCTTTAAAGGTTAAAATGCAGTATATGTTTGTCTGTTTGTGTCTGTGATCTTGGAGGAATGGCTCAGAGTACTGTCCCACTGATAAGAAGAAGAGGAAGCCCCTAACAAACTCACTGTCAGTGCTGGCAATAAAAAAAAAAAAAAAAAAAATAAATCTTTTGCTCAGGACACAACCACAAACTGATGATACCATGTCACATTATTTTTTTAACTCAGAAAAGCAGCCAATTTTGTAAAAAAACCAGTAAGACTTTCTAATACAATATAAAAATATCCCATGATATCTTCTAAAATAAACACAAGCATTTATCCTTTTGCATCAAGTGTAGATGCCCAGAATTATCTTGCATTTTTTCTTTGTTTACAAATGCAAATTACCTGCCTTGCCGATTACTGTTCATTTGCCCTGCCGTGTGTTGACATAAAAACAAATCCAGTTTTAGTTGCAAGAGATTTTTAAGATCATGTGAGGAGGAGATACAGCTAAAAAGTCATAACAGTTTTCCATTTCAGATTCAGATTAGGCAGGCGTTCCCATTGCTTTGCTTTCTTTTATTAAGATGTTACTTTATAAATTATCTTTAGGGAAAGTTTTGTGGCAGTGAAACTTCTCTTCATTTTTTTTCCTTTCTGTCTCACGTGCCCTGTATTTGATTAATGGAACCAAGTGCTTACTAAACAGGTGCTACAAACACAGGAGGGCAATGTGAATTTATCACTGTACCGATAGTGTCAAACCAAGCATATTTCTTTCATCGGCGAGGTGACAGGTCACTCTAGTATGGACAACGTAGTAGAAATTTTACACGTTGACCTTAGCAAGGCTGCTGACGTTACATCATCTGATTGTTCTCACGAACAATCTAAGGAAGTACGCTCTGGATGAAGTAGTGGCGATGAAAGCAGAAGGATAACCATATTAGGGAACGGTTATGAAGATCTCATTGCCAGACGAGGGTCAGCAGGGTCTTGTTGGATTGTGTCTTACCTCTGGTTCCAGTCACTCTGGGTGGTAACAACCTAGGTGATGACTACAGCGTGTTTAAGAAATTTGTAGGTAGGAAACTGGGAGAAGCTACAGAAATAATGAAGAACCTGATTGGAATTCAGTTTACGCATAACAAATTGTAGATATGTTCTAACAAACATGAAGGTGGCTGAGAGAGTATGATTGTAAGCTATTTTGTGCTTGGTGAAATTTAGAATACAAAATGAAAAGTAATGAGATAGTAACTCTGCAGAAAATAGCCGGGAAGGGTTAGGGACGTGCCAGGGCAAACATGAGCCATCTAAGTTTCGGTGCAAAAAACCAGGGACGACACGAAGTTTTATAGATGTGCGAGCGAGATAGTCTGAAGACAAGGGAAGTAATTGTTTTTGCTCTACGTGGCATGCGTTGAGATGCATCCAAAATGTATCTGATTTGACACACTTTTCAAGAGAGATGTGGGTAAAATGGAGAAAGTCCAGAGCAGAATAGTAAGAAAGATCAGTGATGCAAAAAACTTTACCCCTTAAGAAAATGGGAAGAATTTTTTTTTTTAAGTAAATTAAGTGGTACAAGTTTTTTAAGTATTTAGGACTGCTGTAGAGAGAAGGGGAATAGTTTGTACAATTCAGTATGGCCACAGAGATCAAGAAGTGATGGATTAAATGGTAGCGAAAAAAGGTTCAGTTTAGATCTTAAAACTTTCTAATGAAAAAGATTGTTAAATACTGGAAAAGACTGTGAGAATGTTTTTGAATGTAGCTTGTAAGTAATGATTTGGCAGACATCTCCCAGGAGCAACATAAATACAGTTGATCCCACTTTGGAACAGGAAAATAGGGTAGACGATTTCTCAACGTCCTTTCTAGCCTTTTCTTCTGATTTCACATGAATTTACATTTTAATGGGTTGGACCTCTGCGTAGAGATACACTAGGATTTAAAATAAAGCATATACACTGGGGTTCAAGACACACCAAATAATGAGTAATGGTGGGGAAGATGTCTTGCTTAGTTCTAGGAAACGTTGGACTGACAAAATTTTGACATTATCTCTCAAACTTTTCAACCTCCGTGAAAAGTGCAATAACTGTTAAATTTATAATAATTTTGAGCCATATTTTGAATAAGTCCACGGCCTACAGAGACTGTCTGAAAATTAGTTAAATACAGACTTTCTTCTCATTCCAGATCGTGGTTGGTTCACAGGATCAATACAGTTCTGAATGAATCTACTAGCATAGTTTACATATCAAAATACAGGTTTACCTTTTGTACGACTATCATTTATGTAAGTGCAAACACCAGTAATGTAACTTACTTGGCACGAGATTATCCAAGTGATACTGGTGTAGGACAGTTACATTTTAGCCATCAAAAGTATTAAACTATACACTAATAATTTGTCCACGTGTGACCAACTAATTCTTGCATCTGCTTGCGTAGTTATTAAGAGGGACAAGGCTTCACTCACAAAGCGTGTCTGGGACCAGCCTGTTTATTATTAAACTTCGGCTTCCATAAAACCTAAAATACAGCAAAGCAGTTGTGGTAGGCTTCATCAGAGCTGTCAAGGCAAATGTAGTGTGAACCGTTTCCTTATGGATTCATCATTCAAAGCAGCTCTTTATTGGTTATTCACCTTTTTCTCCTTCTCAGTAGTTTTGCTTTTTCAAAATTGGAGATTGTCAGCTGGTAATCTCATTATTTTCGATGCTTGACAGAAACAAAGGATAAATAATACGTTTTATCCTACAGAAATCCAGAGTTAATGATGAACCTGTCTCTTTGAATGTTTCTTTGCCATTTATTATTTAGTAGGATGCATAGCTGCAAACCAGGCCTTCAAACTTACAGGTCCATTTTAGGGTGAAGTCTTCAATGCCAGCAGCTATGACAAGGGAAGAAGAACAGTTTTACGGCGTGTGCCTTTCTTGCCTGTCAAGAGAATGTACTGTAGTAAACCGTAAATGGTACGTACAGGAGCTGTTCCCATTTTTTAGTACGAGAAATCTTAGTGTCTTTCCATTTACTAATGGAAGTTACTAACTCAGGAGGTGGCATATTTTTTGCTGACGTTGAAATTCCATCAATTTGCTCGTTAAATTTGCAGAGTTTTTTAGTACAGATTCATTTGTAAATGAAACGTGAAGGTGAGGTGATTTGTTGACTAAGATTATTTCAGTATATGTTGTCACAGTCCAGTGGAACTGTGCTTAGCAGTGTTTTATCTCATGTCTGCAGTAACAGTAAATCAAGATCCCTAAGTAATAAAAACATGTTAAATTGCTGCAAAATATGACTTGTTTTACAATCATCTGCTGATGTAGGAGGTTTGGGGGATGAAAATAGGAAATTATTGATTTAAATGGCCCGGTTTCTCTTTTATTGGGAAACAGCCCTGCTAATCATTTCGAATAGGTTGGGCTTAACAACAAAAAGAAGGATATAAAAAAGATGTTAACATATTTAGGCTTTTTTTTGTCATCCTACACTGTTGGTGATAAAACTCAGGTAATACTTCCCAACGTTCTTACTCAAGGACGCACGGCAGGTTAATGTAAAAGGCACGAGTGAAGTTAAGGTGTTCTAAGTGCAAGTTTGCACCCTATATACTGTGCCATGGCACTGACTCCTGACAACGATTGTACCTGAACCTAAACTTCCCTTTGTTCATGTCACGTCAGCTGGATGTATGTAGTAATTTTGTTGATAGATGGGTTTTTTTGTTCTCCAACATCCTCTGCCCTTAAGTAGGAAGTAAAATGTTAGGCTTTGGTTTTTGCAGTGATAGCTGAAACTATATTGGGGCAGAAGGTCTCTTTGCTGTATCTCTTAATGTTGGTGTGTTCTGAGCCAAAGGCAGTTAGTTGTACTGGATTCTGTGTTCTTCAGAGGCTCCTTGTATTAAATGTAGACCTTAAGCGGGTTTTTGTTACCGGATGTTTTTTTTGTTGGCCACTTCTGAATGAGGACAACCTAGAAAGTGAAGCTGTATAGTTGTCTTCATTTTCAAAGTGAAAATAGTATAGAAGAACCTAATAGCATCAAGTGAAGAAGTGAAGTCTGAATTTTGTTTAATAATAATAAACTAGTTATCTAGATTATTAGGCTAGGTGGGAAAACACTGCTTTAATTCCAAACATATGGCATAGTGAAGCATCTCTAAACAGTACAGGCAGTCTGATCTCTCTGAATTTTGATGACCTGTGCGTATGATAGCAAATGAGTATTCTGAATAATGAATCTCTTAGCTATAGAAATCATGTTGTTCTTGTTAAGAGTTGGATGCACAGAATCAGATCAGTAAAATAGGCTTACCTAGTTGAGAGCTTTTCATAGCAGGGTACCATTCTAAAGTGCTGTGGAAAGAAATGCTTTGTAACTGGATAGAAATGCAGCGCCTGAGTCCTTTTTATTTTTTTAAATTACTTAGATTAGTCTCTAACGGTAGCTTTGCATCATCTTTTTCGGCATAACTGCTTGGCAGCTGTTTAGTAATGTACAAAGGAATTGAGATGACTGCTGAGAGATTCTTTCAGTATAATATTTCGAGGCTGAAGCAGCTGGAATCCCACAGCTTCTCAGAGCTGTATTCCATGAATGCTGCACTAGTAAGAACATTTCAAAATCTTGAATATCTTCTTAATGCAAAAAAAAAAAATGTAGCCTTTGTTTTGGGTTTTTTGTTGGGTTTTTTTTAAAGATAAGAAGTGAAGAAAGGTTATTGCAGCCCACTTAGGGGAATAAGTGATATCTAAGGCTGATTGCAAAAGGGCTACTGCATTTGGCTAATTCTCAGAATTCTGTTTGAATGCCAGAGAGCTGTGTATGGCGTACCACGATGTTCCTGTCTGTTACAGTACTGACAAGGGATTTCGTCTTGACTAATACAACTATTAAAAGCAAAAGCTACCTTTCTCATCTATATTCTAAGCCCATTGCCCTCGATGTCTTTGTTCTTTCTACAGTGTAAAAGTGCGGTTTTGTGCCTTACCGCACTTTTACACTTGGTACTTGATGCAGAAGTGCTAGGGTTGGGCGATGTATTTTCATTCTTTTATGCTTTCTGGAGTAAACCATGGTGAGCTTGAGCTTTGTAGGTCTGTTTGCCATTTGAGGAGAGGTTTAGTGTACGTAGACTGCTTTACATGTGATGCTGAATGCAGGTAACGCTGTGGATGAAAACTGTATTGATGCAACAACAGCTAGTAATCGAATAAGACTAGTTCTTAGAAAGGAGCTGAGCTGCTGTGGCATATGGGCGAGGGAAGGAAAAGAACATTGACCCACTCATTCGGTGGTGTCTGACCTCGTTCTATTCAGTCCGCGTAGGTAGGCTGCTTGTGCAGCTGCTTAGAAGCTGGAATTTTGAAATGTATGAAGGATACCTTTAACTTTTTATATCTTGCAGCAATTTTCTTTATCTATGCTTCAGTCTTGTGTAGTTTATTAGTAGGAAGAATTACAGTTGCTCGATGTTAGTAAAGAAACAACGGGGAGGAGCAAAGCGCTCTCGCATATTCAGATATATCGGGGGGATAGCCCATTAGACGGAGGATAATATTCGTCGTCTCTGGGACTTGAGTTCCTGAAGCCACGCGAGGATGTGCACGTTAGTGTTTTCAGGCATCTGTTTCCACGTGAATGATCTGCGTGTAAGGGCTTGGGTAGCACATCATTTTTAGTAAATATTTTGGAGAGCTGATTATAGGCGGGAAAACATCTGTTGCTAGGAAAAATAAGGAGTGTACGTGGAAGTAGTGTTTGAATTCAGGCTGAAAAATTCAGGAAGTCCAGAGTGGCAGATTTCTTGTCTCCTATATAAGAGCAACCATACTGGAATTTAACAGGCCACAAATATATGTTGTCTGGTAAGCTATTCTCCTAGTTTGTAATCCTCCTTTTAGTAGAGAAGGTTATATAATGTGTGGCAGGGGCAGCAAATTGAAACAAACTGACACAGATTCTGACAAACCCATGACATCTAGTTAATTAAGACTTCATAAGTTTGAAGCGTGCATTGTTTAATGTTTTGACACCTATTTACAGTGTAATTTTTACTTTTGAAACGGTGTAAAGACTTTCCAGTGTGTACAGAATATCTATTCTGTGGCACGTGTTGTTTGCTGCTGTAAGAATATCGAAGCAACTGTTTAATCTCCAACGGATACTGGGCATGTTGCCGAATTTATTTTCATTATGAATTCCTCTTGTAGTGTTATAGATGTGATATTTTAATAAAATTTAGTATTTTTGTGGGGAAAATTAGCAAATGTGAGAGTTTTGGTATTAGAGTAGTACATTAGCATACATCTTGATGGTCATGTACTGCTGGTAGGAGTTTTAGAAACTTACAATAATGACTCTTTTGTTTTTTTTTCTTGGCTACCGTTTCTTTTTCAGGTATGTAAAACTTCACTGAGTTTCTCTCCTTTTTTCCCCTGTAGTTGCATGTGATGTTTGTTAACTCCTTTTTTCTCTCCCTACCTAAACTTAGTTTGGAAATACTATTAAGTTACATGTCTCGGTATATACGCAGCCCTTTGCACGATAGTAAAAATCTAATAATAAGTACATGTAAAGTGGTTTGTGGGTATTAGAGTAATCCCCATCCAGTAGAAGGTATGCTGCCTAGAGTAACAGATGCTCATAACATTCTCTTGGATGTAGGTAATAGTGTATTAGTTCGCTTAAATGTAACATATTTTAGAATTTAAGAGTAATTTGTTTATATGTAATTTTTCTCTCTTTTTATTACACTGCTTTCCCAGCAAGGACAAGTTTGGAAGGTTTGCAAAGCTTTTCACCTTCCCTTTGCCCGCTTGCCCGCTTTCAGAATCGGTCTCATACTCCATGACTTCTGTCTCTACAGTCCACAACTCAGTCATAGAAATCAATGTGGAAAAGTTTTTAAATGAGCTGTCATTTGAGTTCGCAATGTTGCGTAGAAACGCCTAGCATGTAATTTAGTTTTGCATGAGACACGAAACTCCTTTGCAAATCCCTATGAGTGCTATAAAGCTAAATGAGAGAAAATACAATTTAAGCACAAATTTTGTCATGTAAGTAACACTGCTTTTAGTATGTTTCTCCAAACTAAATGGTATAGCATGGCTCGCTACTCAGAGTAGTTGAAGTCGTGTGTCTGACAGCATGCACTGTAGCTGGCAAAAGTAGGTGCTTCGTCAGTCGTTCGTCCACAGAAGCTGTTCCGATGTGTCTATGTAAGTTGTTTAAGAGATCTAATGCTTAGCTGCGACTTCTGTTCAAATCAAAATGGAATTATGCTTCTTGATTGCTGCTTTTAAAGCACAGCCTAGGCTACTGTAGGAGTAAAAAAAATGAGCAAAACTTGAGTTCTTAATCTAAGGAAATAGGATACTCTAGGCGAGTACTGGTGGTTTTATTGTGGTATAGAAAATTGTCTTGCAGTTAACAATTTAAACAAAAATTAAATGCAGATTGGTGGTGGGGCTTTTAGTTTTGTTTCACAAAGGATAGTTGAATCATTTAACATGTCCAGCACTGTCCTCCACAGATGATGACATGATTGAATTTTCTAACAGTTTATTAACTCCAGATGAACACAACACTACCTCAAACCAGGAATAGCATTAAAAGGAAACTATTTTTTTTCTCCTCCTTTTAGGATTGAGTTTTTTCCCTCACTGCTGTTCTGCACTAACTGCTTTGATACTTCCATGCATCTTTTTCAGTAGAAGAACATCTCTGTACTGTTTGCCATTGCATATTTCAGCTGTGACAGTCCCTGCACTTTGCCTTTCATTTTGTCACCTGCTCACTAAAAACAAACAAACAAAGAGTCTTTCTAGTTTGTCTTCAGATTTGCAACTATCGCTTAGCTTTAGATGGATGATTGTGTTTTTACTTCATTTTTTATTGTATTTTTTTATAGGCATGCGGTGACCCCAAAGCCAAACCATCCTATCTTATTGACAAAAACCTGGAATCTGCTGTCAAATTCATAGTCAGGAAGTTTCCAGCAGTAGAAACACGCAACAACAATGTAAGTAACCAAGTGGCTATGTATTTTTCTCAATACCCTTCGGCACTTGTTGCCCAAATCTGTGAGGTTTTATGCATTCTTATAAAGCTTCTGATTCCAACAGTTGCAGTCGGAATATAGTTGTTGAGTCAAATCTCTGAGAGGATACTTTAGAAAGAACCATCTCCAAAGAGAGAATGCTATACTGTAATTCTGGATCGGTTTTGTTAGGGTAGGACGCTTTCTGGTTTTCTTTTTGCCTACTCTCTTCTGTTCCATTTCAAAGAATTAACAATAGGAAATAATCCTCAAAGAATCACGCTACACTTTGATAGCAGAAATTCTTGGTGACCAGACCAATTGCAGAAGATGAAAGTTGCATAACTTTGATCTGCCGGTCAGGCCTCATCACAGTAAAAGGCATCTGACTGCAATGGGGCAAAATGTGTTTGTACTTTTGCAAGGTGTTCATACCTTGCAGGTGCCCTTGCCTATGGCGTCATCCCTGTGGGAATAAAGAGTGCTTTAGTATGTGAGGAGAAACCTTGTGAAGTACAAAGATACAGAAATATAATTGTTTCTTCTTTGGATGCAGTGGGTTCAGTTGCAATAGGAAATTATTTTTCACCCAGTATTGCTGAATTTGACTTTGTAGCGTTGTAGAGGTGATTAAGATTGTTAGATTACAGGTAGGTGTTTTGGCAGCTAATGTACAATTGTTTCTCTATTTCAATATGAAAGTCAAGGGAAAGATTTTTGGTTTACCTGCTTATATTTCTTTCCAAAGGTGGAAAGTGGAGGTAGGTGTTGGGTTTGCATGTTCCCTGCATGCAACTACTTGCATGTATGCTTGAGAGGTTTAGGCTTGCTTTAAGCATTCAGGTTTCTGCAGAATGGTAGCAGTAGTAGCAGTGGGAATAATTTTCCTTTGCAATGCCATTAAAGTTTCTGTGTAATGTCTTCAGTAATAGCAATGCAAAAAAAAAGAGATGAAACTTTCCCTTATGGAGGAAACAATCTCAGTAACACTGTGCTTTCTCACTTTAAAACTTGTACATGTTTTGTATTGTTTAGTATTGCTCATCTTTGTGTTGAATTTGATTGTGTTAGTAACAAATATGGCAAATTCTTTATCAAATTTATGTGAAAATAGTTATCCCTTTAAACCATGTTTGGTAAGTGCTTCTGTATTCTCTGAACTTCAGTGGTAGATCTATTAAAAGTAAAAGATGATGTACATAGAATTAGTTTCATGCAGAGTTGCACGTATGCTCTATACATCTTCTGGTTGTTGACTATGAATTTGGAGCTTAACTAATGATAGATACTTAAGGATTTGGTACTGTGAAGTTTATGGAAAGAGATCAAAGCTAACTTGATATATTTTGACAATCACAGTTTCTAAAACAGGACATACTCACAATGTTTTGTCATTGCCTTGTGTTTATTTACCATGAGCAGCCAGGCCTGTGTTTATTAAGCACAGTTAGCAAAAGCCTATCCTCCTTATGTATGAGCACAGTTTAAAGGAGGGATTCTGAGTTATAGCAATAGGCAGCTGGGGTTTCCCTCCCTGTGGTCAGAGCTGATGGCAGTTTGCTTGTCTTAGTTATTTACAGATGTTTTCCTGTAGAGTGGTGTGTCTTCCAAAAGAAACCTTTGCCCATATCAGATATCTGACAAGACAAAAGCCACATCATGTGCAGAGGAAGTTCTAGTTTGATGTAAGATAAATTTTGGGTTGTAAACCTTAGCTTCAAAAAGGTGTAAGCATCTAGCTCATGGTCAGGAAGACGTTCTCCTCCTTGCTCTTTGTCTCCCTCCTCGTGCTGGCCAACAACCAGCTCGCCATATGTTAGGAGGGCACACCAGTGAGTTCCTTCAGTGGGGAAATGGGTCACGAGAGATTTGAAAGGGCAAGAAGCTTATTGGAACAGGGACGTATCAGTTAATGAAATATTACAAAGGATTATGGCAGGGGAAATTCCAGGATGGCCTTCCAGGGAGGGGTTTTGGATTTTGTACCTTCAGCTGCAGCAGTCGCCATTGCTTACCGTTGTGCATCTACACAGTAATTACTCTTGGCCTGTCAGTAGGTATTGCCGAACAAGCTTGCATTCCGTTAGGGAATCGGTAGTGCCTGCTTTTTGGATTTTTTTTTTTTGGCCTATTCTTAGCTGCTAGTTTGTTTTTCTCAGGTGATGTCATTTACATACAGTGCATTGTGTCTCAGAAGTGAACACCTCATTTTATTGAATTATTTTTACTGAGCAGTGTCTACCATAATCAGATGGGTGCCTGAACTTGAAAAGCCTGCATTGTTATTCTTTCGAAACAAGTGATTCTGCTATGTTTGCTATTGATAGCTTTTACATCTTTATTCACAAAAAAATATAGCTCCTGGTTTTGTTCCTCCTTCAATGTTTGGCATGCTGAGTCAGACTAGAGCAATGTGTGACAATCGCTGATTTTCAATATTGTACAGAGAGTGAAATTTATGAGCAGTTCAAAGAATGAAGTGCCTGATGAATCCTTGCTGACCGGGCTGAAAGAGAAAATGGAGTAGTTCATCTTCCAAAGGATCGATTATAGATAACTCTGGACCTCATCAGTTCATAACTCACTCTCTCCTGTTGCCTGAGGGCAGTCCTTGTGATCTCTTACACCTGCCCTTTCTTCTCCGATCACCATCATGAACCATACAACCTTGAAAATGTGCAGTTTGAAGACTGAGCTCTTAAATCACCTGTTAGTGATGTTGGCAAGTAGTGTAGTATTGCCTAATAGCGTATGAAATGCCTGCAAAGGAGGGAGTGTATGTAAACAAAAAAAATGAGGGATTTACAGAGTGAGAAACAAAACATTTCAGAGTCCTATTTGAAAATGAAACTATACTATAATAATAAAAAGTATCTATCTTCTGTGTTTGGGAAATTTTAGTATTTATATTTATTTTAAATTGACTAACTAAAGCTTTGTTTTGAAAAAGCCTTCTAAGTTGGAAAAGCCTTCCAAAAAGCTTTATAGCACCAACATTCTTGGTCAGATCAGTGATCTGATTATGCTGGTATTGATGCAGGATAACATTTATTTTTACTGAATTTCTTTGACTAGTTTCAAAAGAAAAGTTCCAAAGTAAGGGATGCAGAAGCAGCCTGATTTTTCTGAGGGTGTTTTAGCCCTCATCCTCTAACAAGGCATACTGGCAAGGTTCTCACTGCAGAGAAGTCAAAAGGGAACATACCAAACTCTGAAAAAAATTGTAGTGGGACCTAAAAATTACCCTCTTCTCAGTCAACGCTAATGTTTAATGCCATTGTAAAACCAGCATAAAATACTTCATGATGAGGAACTGGAGATGCAGGGAGAAAAGATGTAGATTTTCTGTCGATTGTGGGTAGGGTCTGAAAAAACCTGCTGTCTGCACAGGTAAAGCTCTGTGTCTTTGTGTGATGGAGCTAGCCTCCTTTCTGCTTTCCAAAACACCACATATGGGAAGTAGTGATAATACCTGCCTTTGTTCTTGAACATATGTTTTCCTTTTACTCAGATTGCTCCTCAGCAACTTCCCTGTAGAAAAACTATATTTTTACATGTCTACTGGAGAAGTTGAGGCTTAGTCATTGCCTAGCAGTAAGCAGGCCAGTGCAGTATTACTCAGAAGTTTGTGAGTGTGTGGTTAGTGGGAGAACCGTCCGTGTTTTCCACATGCTGCTAATCTTCATCTTTTACTAGCTGTCTTCCCAGTATTGTTCTTATCAATCCCATTGTGTTTTGTATTGACTACACATTCAGTTTCTTAGGAGACAGTATTTTTGGAGGTTATTTCCCTGATTTAATTGTAATAATTTTCTACTGTATTATGTCAGCAGAGACTGGAAATAAAATCATATGAGAGTAGACTAGAAGCAGTGCGAGTATTTTCAGCCTACCTGGATTAGCATCTGTAGATATGAAATAGTTCACTTTACATTAAATACAAATAATCATTTGCTTTTTGAAGTACTTTCAGCCCCTGCAAGGGGTACAGTGCCAAAAGGGAAAACTCATTTGTTTGCTTGTTTCTAATGAAGCTGTTAATATTGCAGTTTGCATAGTGCTAGCGAAGATAATTTAGAAATTCTCTTCCAAGGAAAAATTGGGGTCTCAGCTGTGCTGCCTCATGTGTTGGTAATTCTTTTTCTCTAAAAAACTTTTGAGGAAATGATAGAGTAATTAACACCTATGGCAGCAGATTTCTTAATCTTAAGCAAAGTAACTTAAGCCCCCAAATTCAATAAACTTAAATATTTTTCCCCAGCTTTCTGGAGTTCTAGATCTCTTGTCTGGGAGACTCGATTTTTTTCAGATATCTTATTGCCTACTTAAACAACAAGACCCCAACTCTTCATATTCCACCACAAAATTAACTGGGTTGGTGGCCATGAAGACTGAAATCTTTTCCAGGTAAGAGGATGCCGTGCTTTCATCGCAGGGCTGCCCATTCAGCTCTTCTCGCTGCTGCTCAAGGAACTTACAGTGCTGAAGGGACTGCAAATGAGATTGGTTTTCCTCAGAGCTCACTGAGGCAATAATTTAATATACAGGAGTTCCCCTGCATGAGTAAAGCCAGCCAATGAGTAACTACTCTCTGTTCAGCTTTGTACGAGCAGTTGAGGTTTCTTATGTTTGAGAATAGGATGCACTAATGATAGTTTATTACAGAAGGAACTGCAAAATATCTGTAACAAATAAAAATTTATCTACATTTTTGCTAAAAATCATTCAGAGTTGAAATTGCTCTGCTAATGCCTTGCTCTGGAACAACTATACCTACTGTTCTGATTTTGTACGCAGTAGCAGGTCTGATGTCTTCAGCTGTTACCTGCATAAGACTGACGTCGCAGCTTAAAACGACTTAGGCTATGATATAATCAGAGAATAGTCTGTAAAAGTTTTCAACCTAACAATCATTTGAAATTGTGCATTTTTATTTTTTTCCTAGCAATTCCAAAAGTTAATGTGAAATCTTGAAATATCTT